CCATTTTTAGTTTTTTGAGGAAACTCCATACTGTTCTCCACAGTGGCTGCACCAGTCTGCATTCCCACCAGCAGTGCACGAGTGTTCCCTTTTCTCCACATCCTCTCCAGCACTTGTCGTTTGTTGATTTGTTGATGATGGCCATTCTGACAGGTGTGAGATGGTGCCTCACTGTTGTTTTGATTTGCATTTCTTGGATGTTCCTTAATAATTCTTGAAAGGTGACTGCTTCCTAAAGGGTTCGAGTCTTTTTAAGACTCTTCATTCTGGATGTTCCTCTTTTTTCTTCTTCTTAAAAAAGTGCCTTTAACATTTCTTTGTAATCCTTGTTTGGTGGTAATAAATGCCTTCAGCTTTAAAAAAAAAGACTCTTCATTCCGCATCTGCAGACTAGAAATAAGCATATGAGAGCGAAAATGAGACAAGCAATAGCGGTTATGCTGAGAGGCAGATGAATCAGTCTGTGGTAAGTTTCTTTCTGGGCCAACAGTTCTTTGATTCCCAATTTCCATGTCCAACAGTTCCTTATGTGTCCATGCCAGCAATGATATGCTGGTTCTGGACGGTGGGCAAACGGTGGCAGTGCAGGTCCGACCTCTGGTTTGGTCCTGGGCAACCTGCAGCGACGCACAGCCGCTGACGGCTAGCATGGCAAGGCGTCCTCACCATCTCCATCTCCGGACTGTTTCTCTGCTTGTCTTCATGTGTTGTCAGTTCCTCTCTCAGATTCATAGTTGCAGGAATCCACACGGGCTTGGAGAGATTTTCAGGAAATATACAAACATAGTCCCGACCAAAGGTTAACAAAGGAATGTTTTTTATAAACTAGCCTTGGGAGCCTTTCCTATTTGCCCAAACGATTTTCCTTTGGCTTATTTTGACAGTTTTTTCGCTTTAGGCGAAGTCTTCTCTTCCAGATTTCCCGCTGAGGCGCTAGATGTTGTATGTTTGTTTCCCCCTCGTCCCGCGTGGTTTAGGGTTCAGGATCTGGAAGAGGAGCCGCACACAAATGAAAGAGAAGAGACAAGAGACAATTTGGAAATATTGGGGGGCCAGGTGGGCAAGTCCAACTCAAGGGGAAGGACCTCCACCGGTGCCCAGGCTTCGCCAGCCTTTTATTCACTTTGGTTACACATAAAGCCCTTAGGCAGGCAGGTAATTGCGGTAGCAGACAGACTATCTTAAAGGTCAGTCAATATTAAAGGATTTACTCTAGTGAAGACAATGGGCAGCCTCCCACAGACCGCAGCCCAGCATGTTGTGGACAGGACTATGACTTTGGAAAGTGCTTTGTGATCACATAGATCTCTTGCCCCACATGTCTAACAATAAAGGAATGGTTCAGTAAAAAAAAAAAAAACAAAACAAAAAAACAACCCTGTGGGTGGTGAGCTGAAGGGTTGTTGGCTTGGGGGGTGGACACGGCTGAGTTAATCTCCAACCCCGAGAAACCCCGTGGCCGCTCCTGCGCTCCAGCTCCAGCTGTGCTGTGTGACCCCCGCAGGCCACTCACCCTCTCTGAGCCTGCAGCAGAGTGAGCTTGTGGCCGGCACTTTCTGAGCCCCGTCTTAGTCCCCGGGCCTCCCTGCCCCATGCCCTGCCTGGTCCCGGGGTGAGCTCAGGGCTGTGCCCCTGCTCCTGGGACCTGCTGCCCAGCATGTGGCAGCCCTGGGGGTGAGCCACAGCCTCCACCAGCGCCTGCCTGCGTGGGGACACAGTGACAGGGTTCGGGGCTCTGTTCCTCTCCCGGTGGCTCTGGGCAGGTCCGGGCCTGCCCGCTCGGGCACTGCCAGGCTGTGGGACCTGGAGATGCCACCTCAGGCTGTGGAAGTGGTTCCTGCCCCTCCCCCACCCGGGGCCAGAGGCCCCAGCAGAGCCCACCTGGCCCCCGCCACCCGGTCCTGGGCATGGAGGCTCTTGGGAGGGGCACTGGTCAGGACCCAGGCCCCCACCCCAGCCCCTGAGCACCTCCCGTGACGGGGAACCCCGTGTGTGTCCCACTCTGGCGGCCATGGCCCGGCGGGGTTTCCGTGGGTCCCGCACTGGGACCTTGCCCGGGCCTCAGGGTGCA